TTGGTTACACCACACCACAGTGAATGTTGAGACCAAAGTTCTGAAGACTTTGAAAGCTAATACAAACAATGAAGCTTTCTCTACTTTGGCAGAGTATGAATGTAAAACATCCGATGAACAGCTGGCTGGTCCTTCAGCTGGGTTAGTGTAAATAAAACACTTCTTACACAGCTTAGTTTTGAGTCTGTGCTAGAATGGATCTGTCTAGTAGCTACAAATGGGAAAAAAGTACAGGATCAGAAATGAACAACTCATATCAATCACATCTCTGGAGGAAGATCACATGTTCTGGAGGAAGGAATCTTGCGCATGAGGAGGTTTAATTTACAAGAGACATAAAAGAGACAAGTCTTCAATTGTAGCTCTCGTTCCTCAGAACAAAGCTGAATATTGAGGCCATTATTTGCTTTAACACTGTCTATACTGTAAAAGATCTATATGTTCTGTCCACGGTCTGAGGCTGAACCTGGGTCCTCATGTTCAGTTGTGGTTGCTCTTACAGAACTGATGGGATTAGTGAATGTGGAGTTGCTCCAAAGACCTGTTTGCTTATTTTTAAGACACCATTACTGCAAATTAATAACATGCAAAATATATAAATAAAAACTTGGTAATGCTTTCTGTATGCCAGATAGCTGTAACAGACCAGTGGAGCTTTGAAGAAGGGAAGTGTGTTCTGTAAAGTATGATTTTGTGACGGGGGGAGGTGAGGATTAAACCAAAACTATTGAAAGATGGTTTTTGTTTGTTTTTTCCTACCCTTTCTCTCTGGTGTGGCCAGCCAGTGCTAACATTATTAGTTAATGCTGCAGTTGAAGTTTTGCTTTGGATTCTTCATGCCAAATTCTTCTGTGCTATGCCAGTGTGACTGGGAAGGAGCCATGAGCTTCATGAGACTTCAAAATGGTATTTAAAGCCCCAGGTTTTTGTAGTTTTGTCATTAGCAAGCTATTGGATCCAAGATTTGCCTAGCAATACTATTTTATTGCACTAGAAAAATATAATTTTGAGGTAGCAAGCATATTTTAGTTTATTTTGACTTAATTTTTAAATGTACAGCAGGATCTATCGTTCTCAAGAGTGGAGAAAGAACATGGGAGCCAGATTACTTTCTCCTTCTGATGAGAAAATATTATGACCTCAATATACATGACAGTATTTCACTTGCACCTTTTCCTATTTAAATAGTAATTAAATACAGTGTATATGAAAAAATGTTCTTACCTACATGGTTATTTTTACAGAAGACTGCATTACTATTTCTCAATAGCTTGGCTGTAGCAGAAGTATTTTTAGAACTAAATTAATGAAATACGTTCGTAGCCTTTGAATTCAGTGTTTTGAAAACACTCAAATTAATTCCTGTGTACAGTGAGTGGATTCTGTTTAGAAATAAAGTATAATACTCCTTCTGTACCATTATTTTTACAGATCTAATGATGGATGCATAGTGTTCAGCTATCCAGAATCTTGCTTAACATACTCCTTTGCACTGTATTGCTGTGCTAAAATACACTCTCCAGCATAACTGCAATCCTCAGTAATAAGTTTGTATATCCTGAAATACCTTTGTTAAAAAAAATTAATCCCTCTTCTAACTTTATGTTTTTTTAATTGCTTTATTTGGAAAATAAAATACATTCTCTCTTTTAAGGAATTTGCTGTTCAATGTGTATTTAATTTGGCTTAGAGTCCGATTTCTGAGAAGAGAAACAGTCTGAATTTGCTGTAATGTAGAATACTGTAATGGCAACTGGTTTTTACGGCTACTATTTAGGGGTTGATTTCTCACAACTCAGCCAAAGCAGAGAACTGGAGGCACGTACTATATCCTTGCTGATTTTGCACTGAAATGGTTTACCTGAAGTTGCTGGTGAAAGCCACCAATGGGAATAGATGATGGTGTAGTCACACAATTCACTTCTGGTGACTCTGTGGATCACAGGCTTCAGAAGAAGTGAGAAAACAGGTGGTGATAGAAGTGGTGTGTGGGGATGATCATGACCCATTGCAAGGGTTTGCAGGTGTCTGTGTGTTCGTGTCTATTTGCTGCATGTGTTTGGAGGTGAAAAAGAATCAAAGAATTCACATGAAAATTAGTGTTGTGTTTTGCTTCATATTCTTTACATGGAGAGAAGTACATTGCCAAGTCTTCTAATGTTTAACAAGATAGAACCTAGCATATGCAAGTTATCCAGATAACTGAAAATTTGATCAGTGATGATGACACATAGTTGAAACAAATACTGGGAAAGTGAAGAAGTATGTGATTGGTTTATTTACACACTTTTCTTTCATCTGCTCTTTCCTGACTGTGGGAGAAAGAAAAACGTGAAAGGAAAAAGTAATTAGAATCATAGAATAGTTAGGGTTGGAAAGGACCTTAAGATTATCCAGTTCCAAACCAGGGACACCTCACACTAAACCATGCCACCCAAGGCTCTGTCCAACCTGGCCTTGAACACCTCCAGGGATGGAGCATTCACAGCTTCCTTGGGCAACCCATTCCAGTGCCTCAGCACCCTTTCAGTGAAGAACTTCTTCCTTATATCCAATCTAAACTTCCCCTGTTGTCCTATCACTGCAGTCCCTAATGAATTGTCCCTCCCCAGCATCCCTATAGCCCCCCTTTCAGGTACTGGAAGGCTGCTATGAGGTCTCCACGCAGCCTTCTCTTCTCCAGGCTGAACAGCCCCAACTTCCTCAGCCTGTCTTCATACGGGAGGTGCTCCAGCCCCCTGATCATCCTCGTGGCCTCCTCTGGACTTGTTCCAACAGTTCCATGTCCTTTTTATGTTGAGGACACTAGAACTGCACACAATACTCCAGGTGAGGTCTCAGGAGAGCAGAGTAGAGGGGCAGGATCACCTCCTTCGACCTGCTGGTCACGCTCCTTTTGATGCAGCCCAGGATACGGTTGCTTTCTGGGCTGCAAGCGCACGCTGAAGCCGACTCATGTTCATTTTCTCATCAACCAACACCCCCAACTCCTTCTCCGCAGGGCTGCTCTGAATCTCTTCTCTGCCCAACCTGTAGCTGTGCCTGGGATTGCGTATGGGATTAATTAACTCAATGTGAGCATTTCTAAAACAACACTTAGTGGCTTTGAGCCTATAAGCAGTAGTGGCTGTCTGTTCTTATGTACACTTATGGCCTTGAATATGCTATCTGCATTAAACTGATTGCTGGCAGTGTTATGCTGAAGTAGAACATTTTTAACAATTCTAATTAAAGAGATTATTGTTATTTTTCACTAGAACCTTGAAAGAGGCTTTCACAGGCCTTGAAAGAGGAGAAATGTCACGTTAAAAAACAAACCAAAACTTCTGTCTGCAGTGCCCTTTTACCACATCATGGCTTACAGCCTGAAGAATTAATGCAACCGAGTATAAGATTAGGTCTGCAGACCAAGTTCAGGTGAAGACATTGTCTTTGAAGTACCTGAGTTTCTGAAATAAAGATTAAAGGATGCATGTCCTCCCTGAAGAAAACCACTTATTTTCATTCATTTGATTGCAGAAGTCATATCAGATACGTAGCCAGCACTTGGTTAATGCAGTGAAAGTATGAGAGATACTTAGCATCTTGGAGTAAAGGATTTTGATTTGGGTGGTAAAGCTCTTTGCAGCTTCCCAAGCCTTGCATTTCTATTTTAACCAAACATATTTTCCTGTTTTATTATCTGTTATGTTATGCTTGGCTGAATTCTTCGTTCACAGGGATTTGGCCACAGTCAGTGTGTAATAGAGTAGGTGTAATTGGTATGTAGTAGTAGTGCTTGTACAAAGCAAGTGCTGCTTTAAAGATACTATCTGTTTTTATTAGATCAAATAAGATATTGCTGTTTATTGAGCATACCACACGTTATTTTCCTACAATGTGGGCTTCTGTTGTAATGACCACCTTGTATCACTTCTAAATATGGCTGCTCTTACATCAAGAGAAAACATGGTAAAGCTTTTATTTTTCCTTACAGTAAAGCTTCAAGTTGGTTCTTATTCTTTTGTTGTTATTTGCATGAAAGAAATAATTTTAATCATACAAATAGCTGTGGGCAAGTTGAAGGAGGCTGATCTGCTCCAAAGTTCTTGTGGACAGCCAGTCTTTTACAGTGTCCATAATACTAGACATAATATGCTAATTTATTTCAAAGAAGATCATTAAAAAGAAATGCATGAAATGCCTGTTGCAGTGGTACATTCAGCTTTAAATCACAGTGTATTGCAAACGTGTGACTAGAGTCTCCTTGGGCTGGAGTGTAAGAACTTGGTTAGTTTTGTGGCTGAAAGACGTTTTATGTTGTATAAAAATCATACCATTGTTTCCCCATTTGAAACTATAGGAGCCTCATTTCAAATTACAAACTAGAAAACAGAATACTTAGATTTCATTCAACTAACTTTAAATCTTTTCCAGCTTCTGATAGAAGACATTAAATATCATATGTCTTAAATTAACAACAGAAAAGCCACTGTAAAAAGGGGGATGTCTTTTGGCTTTTCTGCTAATATTCATAAACCAGCAAGGAAGGCGGTCTGTCGCAGTTTGGTGATGTCTCTGTACAAAGCGCTTTAAATTGGGAAAATGAATAAACTGTAAAAGTGACCCAAAGTTTCTTGATTGTTTTCATATGCAACCATTATTATATTAATTATAGTACAGCAAGAACAAAATGAGTCATGATGTTTTTTCAATTTGACACTCCATGTTTTCATTATTATACCTTCACTGATCCCTGAACAAATGGTTTTGCACTCACAAATGTAATTTCCAGTATGTTTATTTTATTCTGTGTAGAACTTTTTGTGTTTACTGGTAAATCGGTAGATGCCTATTTTGAAAAGCTGATGCTTTTGTAGAAGCATTGGTTGATCTGACAGTCTTTTCAACCCTTGGTGACAACATTAAAGGGGAAAGACAAGAAAGTCAATTAAAAAACAAACAAACAAACCAACCCCTATTCCTATTCCATATAATTCTCCCCAACAATTTCTACCTAGGTTCACCTTTTCTTGCCAATGAAGATGGTGTACTCGGAGGTGTGATAGTTCTTCGGTCGTGCAGGTGTTCAGCAGAGCCTGAATCGTCACAGGAAAAGCCAACTTTACTAGGTAAGAAATTCTTACTCATTTTTAGCTTGAGCTAGGTGCTAAATCAGAGTGAAAGATGAAATAAGAACTGTCTGTGCATGTTTATCATTGTTCAGAAGCCACAGAGAAAACACACACAATTGACATTGTTTGAGATAATAAAACTAGAAAGTGAAATAGTATTTGCTTTGTTTGTTCTCTGAAACTGTGGAAAAGAGCATTCTTTCTGACTCACTATTTCTAAGCAGAACTGTGATTCAGAGGGTTGTGTGGGATCCTCCTAAGACCATGACAGAGAAATAACGGCTGCCTGTGGCGAGGCAGGGTATGTTCCTCAGAGGAAAACCATTGCATTTTTACTTGAGGGCAATGCATATGACTGTTTACTGCTTCTCAGTGGTTTATATGCTAAACATGCTATCTAAAAAGTTATTTGTTCCTCCTAATTGCAGGACAAAATGTGAAAAATTGGAGGATACATTTAAAATGCAGAGGGGAAGTTGTTTTGTGGCTAGAAACTTCTTGTTACGCCCAGAAAAATCTGTTCAAATTAAGGCACAGTTCCTGTTTGCATATGCAGACATCAGGAATACTTGCTGTTTATATTGAGATCAGCAGAAAACTACTTCACCTCCTATTTTACCTCCATCAGTAGCTGACTGGTTAAAAAGGCTCTGAGCTCTGCAGCTCTTCAGCCCTGTTTATGTCCTAGAAATAAGATCCTCATATGGCTTGCTGCTTACAGCAGAGCAAGTGTATTATAGGAAACCATCATGTGGTTTATCTTAGAGAAGCAGCTAGGAAACCAAAGGCTGTAGACCACTAGCCGAGGTTGGTGGAAATGCAACCCAGAGACAGTAAGGCCCATGTTCCTCTTTGAAGGCAGGGATTTGGGACTGGGGGCATATGAATTACTTCAACGTGACACTTGTACCATCTCCTTTTGTGTGGTGCTCCTCAGATGTGGACATATGTGTCTTGTCGTGCTTATGTAGTGGGTCACACGGACCTGTCTAATATATATTATGCTATGAGAATTAAAGGTTTTATTCCTTTGTATAATCATCTGCTTTATGATTGTTTCCCCAAGTGTTTCATGAACTACTGTCATCATAAATTCCAAGTATGAGTTACAGATTGAAAGTAGCTTTCATGTCTTTTAAGATCTGAGATGACAAATTTGATCATCTGCCTTAACTTTTTGTATTAAGGCATGGTTATAGCATCTTACCTGGTAATTCTTAAATTGCATGGTTTCTTTTTGATTTACAGGCTATTATTTAGAATGACACCTCACCTTTGTTTTAATTTAGTACTACTTCAGTCCCACTATATCCTAGTATTTTGTCACCAGTGTTTGCCTGCTTACAGCCAGCTTGGAATAGCAGACAGAGTGTGTGCTAAAGGTGAGCTGATGGATATAGTCATCATAATCCAGTATGTGGCTGTTCAGTGACTTCCAGGATGTTAGGGTCAAGTTATTACAGTTGTACAGGATGAGGTGTATGTTGTATTTCAGGTCTTTGTTCATATTACACCTTGCTGGTTTGCATTACAAGAATCTTTAAATATCAGAAACTACTTAGTGTTGATCAACTTGAGCCTGACTGTATTCCCGCTTTCCAGTTGTTTAATAAGTAATTTAGCTCAATCCAGTTAATAACATTCATGTTTCTCTACCTAACAGTTGAAATTTATGTGTTCCTTAAGCTTTTGGTCAACATCTCATGTTACCCAAAAGAGTTTCATTTACATCTTTTGCTATTCCAAAGAACCAGAGATTTGAGAGGTGAGGCCTTACAGTTTTGATGGGTCTGAGGTTGTCCTCATGGACAACAGAAGAATTTTGGAAGGCTTTGGATGGGAAACGTTTTAGGAATAGCTTTTGTATGTTACATTTTTTTGGATTTATTACTTGAATAGCTTGTCTTTATGAAGAAGTAGACTATCAAAGAAACTTTGTCAATCATCTTTCAATCATTTGAAAACCAAGACTGTCTAATCCAGACTCCAGAATCAGGGCATGGGTTTCTGAACAAACAGAGAATGTTGTAAATTGGATTTACAGTTTTCAGATTGAAGAATGGAATAATTGTGGCATTAATCTAATGGAAAAGCATCCTACAATATAAATTCTATCCCTAAACAAGAGTTAAATAACTGAAATACAAGCTTGATTGAATAAGAACAAACAAGATCAACTTAACCTTTAATTTCTGATGCTTGGAAGCGAGAGAATTATTTCTACTCATTTAATGTTTGGTATTCATGTAAGGAAACATTCCTATTGAGGAAGTTTTGATATTTTTTCCTCAAAAATTAAGGAAATCCTGATATATTGTACAACATAAATAACGACTCTTTGTGCATTGATCTTTGGTTTTCTTTCCACTGAAATAGGATTCATATAGGACAGCTTATTCTAAAGATATTTTTTCTGTACCACAGAAATTTCCTGCCTTATAGCGCACGCTGAGTTAACGTATAATTAAACATATGTAGTATTTGTGGTGTTTGGACTTAAAATAAGTTGCATAACACTGAAGAACATGGAGTGTAGAATAATGAAATCTCATGTCTTTGTTGCAGGGATGTTTTGTGGGTTATTTTTTAAGTAATGAAACGAATTGCAAGAAAGTGATTTATGAAATGGTTGAAAATATGTGAAATGTCTTCAGAGAAGTATGTAGTTTAGGCTTTTCATTGAAATTCCACTACTTGTGATAGGTAGCAGTAACCATGTTTCATGCTAGAACATGCCACGGTTGGTGTACTATTTAGAAGGAAAAAGTTGTTAAAAGCATATGCCTAGAGTTATAGAAGGCAGGGAAACAGTATTTTGAGGGTATTTGGCCAACTTCTCAAAATAGATAAGATTGTCTACAAAAAATAAATGCTTTCACTGACAGTTGAACCTTTAGGGTGTTAGGGAGAGATCGGCCTCATCGACCACAGCTACGTTGCACTAAATGTTTCACTCTGAAAGCTTTGACTAACCTTTGGCAATATCAGTCATGCATGGGGGAGCAAAGCACATACCTGAATGAAGTTCATTTTTCTTTTATGATGATATCTACATATCTGTCAGAATCTTCACGTCTTGCCGGGACTGTCTAAACTTTGATCTTCTGCTCTGGGTTAATTGCTATGCAAGGATAAATGGTTCAAAGGATAAGCACACTCAGCATGTTGTGACCTTCTGCAACCATATTAAAGGAATGTGAGGAATAGGAATGAATAAGAGTTTTAAAACCATCTAATGATGCTTTTTGCAGTCTGTGAAAATCTCTTTGTAAAGAAATACATGGAAATAGCTTTTCATGGCATCTTGTGTAATTCATGTAAGACTGCTCCTGTAATCCAGAGGAAACATTTATACCTCAGTACAATTTTTTTAAACCTCTTGCAGTACTCTATGAAACACCCTGAATTCTGATCAGCTACTGTTTGTCTGCCCTCCCTTCCCAAGTATGTACTTAATGGACACAAAGAACGCTGTGACATAGAGCAGGAAGAATACAGTGTGGTGTTTATAAAGCTCCACTGGATGGAAGCCTAACATATGAATAATGTGCTCATTGCCTGAATTTTGTGTTGCAGCTGAGTAGGAGTGTGTGTGCATATATAAAGATGCTTATGTATATATCAGGGAGTTAAAGATCAATGTGATGGGCTACTTAAGCAATTGATAAATTGGGACGCTTTCAAACTTCAGAACACCACCTTACTGGAATAACATGCACTAACAATACATATTAGCAGTGGTTGGTTTCCTTAATGATTATCACTACAAACACAACACTTGGTTGTGTTTTTATATCCTAATTATCCTATATTTATATCCTAATATAGGATATGTATCCTAATGGATACACTAGGATGCGTTAAATTATATAGGGCATTATATCCTAAATTATCTCTGAGTATAGAGTACCAGATTGTGTGTAGCTAGTGCTATAAGCAAAAGTGATCAGATCTGAGAGTGCTTTGATAGGGAAGCCAAAATCAAAATGGTCTCATTTCTTCTCCGTCTTTCTTTCCTCTCTTAAATTTGGTGTTCTGTGCCCTCTCCCCAAAGAAAGTGGGTGATTGCATATGGTCTTGATGTTATTTAGCATACTGTTGGGACTAAGTCTTGCACTAATTTTGCCAGGTATCTTCCTTGCTTATCGTGCTGTGTTATTCTGCTTCCAGCAGTCATCTCTCCTGCTTTTTCTGCAGGATTATTTTACTTTCACCAGATGCATTTCCTGCCTGTTCTGTATCTTCAGTTCTCATTGTTCTACATGTTTTCCTGTGTCCTACTTGTGCAGCTAAATCACAAACCTCCATTAACCCATTGGTAGTTAGTACATGTTATGTATCAGTTATATAAAAAAATGCTTGTTACTGGTTATTCTGTTGATAGTGTTACAATTCTACAGAATCCTTGTGCACTGCCTGCATTTATGCTACTGTAGTGTGCTCTTGTCTGTGTTCAAGGCAAGCGAAAGCAAATTATATCTGCTTTTTCTTAATGGGTGGAACAGGCCTCTGCTTCAAGTGTTAGTCGCATCTTTTAAACGTAGTTGTAGTTGATGTATTTCTCATCTTGGAGGCTCCATATTGTTGAAGAAACATTCTTATTCTGGATATTAGTTCTGCAGTGTGTGACTGCAAATGGTGAAGGAAAGTCTTGTTTATTTGATAGCTGTTTCTTTTGAGATAAAATTAACCTGGTAAGTAGGTTTTGTTCTTTTTTTTTTTGTCCTTTCCCAAACTATTTTAAGCTATATATACATATATAGATATAAGGAAGAAATTCTCTACTGTTAGAGTTCTGAGGCACTGGAATGGGTTGCCCAGGGAGGCTGTGAGTGCTCCATCCCTGGCGGTGTTCAAGGCCAGGTTGGACAGAGCCCTGGGTGGAATGGTTTAGTGTGAGGTATCCTTGCCTATGGCAGGAGGGTTGGAACTGGATGATTCTGTGATTCTATATATGTTTCTCAAGATTCCATTTTTGTTAAGCTACATCTTGTATATTTAATCAATACATTTTTTGTGACTTCTTTTACAGTGGAATTTCTGTGGAGCCATACAACAGAGAGCATGTGTGTAGGATACATGTCTGCACAGGATGGCAAAGCTAAGGTAAGCCGTGAGGGTTAGGTTGTAATATAGTAGAGTGAGGGCAAAAGCTAAGGAGAATATGAAATAATGAAATATATAAGAAATTTCTGTCTATAAGAGAATGGAAAAAGTAATGGTGGCATAAGCAGTTAAATGTATTGATTGGGCATTTCTAATTCCTTTTTTTAAATTGCAGCAGTTAACAAACCGATGCTAACATACGTGTTACGTCAAAAAAAGGTGCCACAAACACATGTCCATTTCCTCTGCTAACAAGTAATTATATTAGAGTAACTTTATCCAGCTTGATTCAGTGATACTGGCTATTTAGGGTGCAGTGATATTTTTCTGTGAGCATGTCTTCCTTAGAGAAAGCTATTGCACCATCAAGGAAAAATGGAGAGGATGTGAAACAAACTTAAAGCTGGTTCCTAAAATAGCCTCTGTGATAAATATTTTGGATATTGATGTCCATTTACAGTCTTTTGGAGCCTAATAATTTCTTTCTTTTTTTTAATGAGAGAAATAATATGTCAAAATTGGGCTTGGCAATGGAGACCTGGAGAAGTCCTTACTGTCAAGATGAAAGAGTAGGATTAACCAAGAGGATGAGCCACCTCTTCTTAGGCACATAGCATTGAAGGGAGAAAAGGCTTGTATTGCAGTGCAGCAATGAAAGCATTTTGGAGAGGTGTTTGGACGATGAGGGTGAACATGGGAGAAGCTGCAAGCAGAAACAGGATCATGATTTCTGTAGCTGTTTATACATGTAGAGCTGTAAATATTCAAGACTGAGAGTGGACAATCAGAGCTAGTTAAAAGAACTGACAAAAGTGGGGGGGGGAATAAGAAGGCAGCACCCCAGTATAGTTAATCAGGGAAGTGGAGGTATTCCCTGGAATACTTGCATGCCTTAAAGGAGAAGATGACAGTAAGCAAGTTTATACCAGGAGATAAGCCCAAGACACACACCCAGCATTTTGATGGAAAGATGACTATTAAAGCCTGGAAAAGGAAGGGATTTGAGGGCCTGGATTTGTTGACTTTCTTCAGAGGCGGCTCCTTATGTATTTGCTGAAGGAGAAAGTTTAGTCATTAGGAGACTACAAAATTCACTTCTTTCCTTTTTTCCTTCTTCCGGTATCCCATTTAAGTATGATGGAGGGTATGAACAAGATAATAAGAAAACGTACAAAAGAAGGAAATTGACATCAGATATTTCAAACAGCAAGGATGGTGTAACATGCTGGTTAAAGCAGTGGGAATGGATGAGTTCATTCTCTAGGAGTAAAATGTGTAGAAAAAAAAGACAAGAATGCTCCAGAAGGAAGAGGAAGATAAAAAGCAGCTGGTGAAGGAAGTGCTGGTAGAAGTGCTAGTCAAGTACTCACTTTCATGGCTTACATAGAGTTCTTTCCAGTTAATTATCCATGGAATAGAATGTGGTTTCACTTCTTTCCTTAATATTTATTTCAGGTTTATTAGAAAAGAAACCAAAGTCAAATTAAAAGTACAGACTGGACTGAGTGGAACTGCAGCAAGCTCAGCTGCAGATGTTCTACTACTCACTAGTTAGCTTTAAAATCATTATCTTCTGTTTGCAGTGAAAGGAGGATTCCTAGAATGCACAATGTTAAATTATTCCAGCGTGCACACCTGCCTCTGACTTACACGGAAGGCTCAAATGTCTCTTCCTGTATTATCTAATTAATAACTAAATGCTAAATATCAAATCTGTCTGCTAATGGGTACTAGCATGACACTGCCCAGAGATGTTTTCCTACTCACAGTTGCAACACTTGACATCTGGTATGCATTGTTTTCGTACTGCTGGTAACTTCTCCAGCTGGTAATCTTGATTGCGCTGACAGACACAGCTGCTCTTCTTGGTTCACTTTTAAATTATGTTTTTGACCTTCATTGAAGAGTTAATCCCCCTCCCTTTCTTCCTCCTTTGAGTCTGTGGCCACAAATGCTTTCCAGAGAAAAACCGCAAACGCTTTTGCTGCTGACTTCTATTGATCAAAAAAAGTCTTCTGTCATAAAAGCTGGAATTTTATTCTGCTACAGCTAGGACTAAGTTATAGATGGAAAACTGGGCTTGAAATAGAACACAATGTATTGCAAGTAGAAAAAAAAAAGAAAATCCCTTTTCTTTAACAGAGTGACTGTTTTGGTACAGATAATTTTGAGTGCTTGCCATGAAATGATGGTATAAGAATTCATGAAAGTATAAAATATAACTTGTTTATGAGTTCATAGCAAAATGATCAGGCAGCAGCTTGTAAGGAAACATCTTGCTTTCCTGTTTTCCTAGGGTGGTAAAGAGCTTCAGTTTTTTATTTCTTTCATCATTCAAGGACTCAAGTTTTATTCTTAAACCAAGGGATTGTCACAGTGGGTGATTTTGGGCTGCTTTAATTTGATGAACATGAAAACATATTTTTATAGCAAGACTTTTAGAAAGTGAGAAGCTTGAATGTCTACTGTTACAAATTGGACTAATATTAGAATCATAATTATATAAAGTGGTACATACTAAGGAAAAAAGGATCCTGCATTTCAATCTCATTGTGGTTCTTTGTGTGTTGGAGGTTAATGCATTTCACAATAGGACCTAGCAAATGGTGATTCTGAACCCCAGATGAAGGTTGTGGAGATACAGGAGGCCTTTCTTAGACACTTACAAGCTGGATACCAGCTTACCTAGATGACACGGGTATGCTTGAGAGGTGGAAACATAATTAAATATCAGCAACTCCTTAAAAAGAACAGTGGCACAGGGAAGTGGAATTGGAGGCTTGAAATGGTTTGTACATCCTGACCTGCCAGTGCTTCTGGCTTCTAGCACTGTGAGCTCTCCAAGTACTGATTTGGAAGTATCCTTGCAGCAGGGGTTTATTTCCTCCCAGTTTTGGGAAAGGTTGGGTTTTGCAGCCGACCGCTCACCTCCAAACCAGGCTGCCTGAATGCTAACTCACCAGCATAAAATGGCTGAGCCTGCAAGAGCTGTGGAACAGTTCTGCCCTGTGACTAATAATTGCTTGATTTAAAGCATACTTTCTGGAAAGGTGTCCAGTCTTTTTTTGGAAAGCCAGATGCCTGGAAAAGTCACCGTTTCCTGTTGAATGTTGGTTTAAAATGGTTGGTTGAACGGTACTTTAAAAATACCATGGAAGCTTGCCAGATGAACTAAGTTCACACCTTAATGCTGACAAGTCATCTCTGGTGGTGTGTCATTACTTGCCTTGAGCTCACTCTCAAAGCTGGAAGTTTATCAGCTCCTCCACCACTGATACCACTGGCAATGTCATCTTCACTACCTGCACAATGGATAGCCCATTGACTTCCCTCTTATTCTTATGTCCTTGAACCCTTACATCACTGCCATAAGCAACTAATCAAGGTATAACCTTGCTGGTTCAACTGTAGTCTTCATCCCTCGTGACATAAGCAGTTTCATAATCATTCAGTGACACTGTTTGTCACATATTGCATAGGGAAAGAAACAAACCTTTTGTCTGAACAGCTTTTTTTCTATATACTTCTTGGAACTAACCCGCACTTCCTATTGCTGCAACTTACCCAGGCTGGATACTGGAGCCTCAGCTATGTTGAGCTTAAGGGATAGATGCACTCTGTTTTAGAAGTTGCCTGTCCCAGTGTTCCTGAAGCAATACCATGATAGATTGTTTCAACAATAGCCTTGGTCTTGGGGAGATCAATGGGTTTCCCAAGTTCCCCTGAAGCAAGTTCCTGCATTGCCATATACATGATGGTACAATTGTCATGTAAGGTGTGTCGTGATTTAAGCCCAGGCTGTAAATCAGAACCAAGCAGCCCTCTTGCTCACTCCCCCCTTCTCTCAACCCCCCTCCCCCCCCCGCCTCTGGTCCCAGAGGGACAGGGGGAGAATCAAAAGAATGTAACTCCCACAGGTTAAGACCAGCTCACTAACTAAGGTATAACACAAACCAATGCTGCTACCACCAATAATAATAAAGATAAAGGAAATAACCAGGGAAGAGGATACAATGCCACCCATCAATACTCAGCCCGACTGAGCAGTGAGCCAGCCCTTCTGGGTACCTCCTAATTACATCCCGGGCATGACGTGCTGTGGTATGGAATACCTCTTTGGTCAGTTTGTGTCAGGTGTCCTGTCTCTGCTTCCTCCTGGCTTCCCCTCCTCCCTGGCAGAGCATGAGACTCAGAAAGTCCTTGGCCAGACTAAACACTTGAGCAGTAACTAAAACCATCAGTGTTATCAGTGCTGTTCCCAGGCCAAAAGTCAAAAACACAGCACTGCACCAGCAGGGAAGAAGAAGGAGAAAAATGCTACTGCTGAACCCAGGACAGGTGATACTCAGCTCTTTGTAGCTGTAAGTGAGGCTGTTAAACTATTCTAAGCTGCTGTGGAAGTTTCTGGCTGTGGCCATGAGAATGGATAGGAAATTCTAGTCTGTGGACTTCCTCTGCACTTACCCAGCTCCTTTTGTAGCAGTAATTGCTTAATCAGCAAAGGTCAAGACTTCCAGATTGAGGGACTGGGAGTTTAAATAACTTCATGAACTGGGGAGGTATGTTTTTTTTCTTTTATGTTATTTTGATGTTGACTCATTAATTACTTGATATGAATTCCAGATCTTTGATAAGCAGTTCACTCTTTTAGATTCCCTGTCCAAACTGTCTCCTGTTTCTGAGACACTAGTCCTCAGAGTAACCTTCCAGATGTTTTTTTTTATGGATCCATAATAGATCCAACAGCTGATCATAGCATTGGCTAAGTAGGTCATCCTGTAATCAGAGCTCTGACCTCTTTGAAGATACTCTGGCAGCTTTCAGATAATCAGTTCCTATTTTCCTGAACTGATTAGGCTACATTCTGAGAGCTGAAGCATTTTTCTTATCACTGGTGGGAAAACATCTGTATTCTGATGACTAGAGTGTTGCTTCTTGGAGCTCTGTCCATACTGCCATGGGTGATGTGCGATATTTAAGCCCTTAAAGGCTGATATAGCATTTGGTAGAACAGTTTGCATGGAGGGATTTGAGACCTTCCACCATGTAATTTGGGAGGGGGAGAAATAACTCCTGAAATTCACCCATAATGTGATTTTAGATATAAACAGAGAATGGGATGGAAGGGAGGTTAGTAGGTAGGTTAAAAATTAAATGACTCCTCTTAGTTAAATAGTCTTCGTATCTTCTTGTTCCTTGTCTGCTTGCTCAGTGGAGGATGCTGCAAAGGAAAAGAAGTTCTCCCATCTCAAGTGACAGTTCAGTGTATGCCTGCAATGTGAATTCACATACCAGCTGCATCTCTTGAAGGTTCTGGTTATGGGTAGGCAGCCTTTCTTTGATTTAATGTTGTATATCTGTGCATAATCAAGCAGGAGCCCTTTTATCTCAGGCAGGGTCTGCAGAGTATTTGATCAGTCAAGGCCCACAGTATTTTGTGTGCGAAAAGTCTAAGTAGGCAGGATGTGCCAAAGAACTTCTTTTTCCTGGATCTCCCACATGTCTTGCATTATCTTAGTGATTGAGAGTAGTTGGTGGATGATGTTTTGGCTTGAAAATAGGTACTTCCTCACTGTGTTTTCACTAGTGTTTGAAGTCAGAGTGCTTTCTTTGCAGGAAAAGACCCAGTCTCAATACCAACAATGTGCAGGTTTGGTCCTGTGTTACGTGTAGGTATTTGACATATTTTTCAGCTCGCTATGATTCTTAGCATGTATAAATGTACTATATGATCTGCGTATACATGTTCTAACTTTTGCAATTGTTGTAGATCTTGCAGTACTTTTGAGATATCCTTGTAGTTCAGCTTTATAGGTTTTAGTTTGTGTAACAGCTACATGATCTAGACAACACGTCTCTAAAAATCTAGTTGTAATATCGAATGTGATCCAATTCAGTTGCCAGTTTAAATCTCTCTTTTGGCAGATATTTGGTTCTTACAAATTACTCATCTTTATGTTGTGACAGGTTTTAATACTTCAAAGCTACATATGCCATCCTTTCCATTTTCTAATGAACCAAATTCAAGTTGCTTTGTTAAGATACAGAGTAACAGTAGTGAAGAGTGTTGCATATTGGTGTGCTTGAAAACCTCCATCAGCAACAGCTGCTGTCTACACCAAATGTTGTGGTTGCAAGATGCAGAGGCTTATCTTTGAGGGTTAATTTCATTTTCCAGTTTGAGGAAACAGTGGACAGGGAGACCATTTCCAGTTCACTTTTCCTGTTGAGATGTGTTGTAATCAGATTTATTCACCTTTACTAATGCTGCAAAATGCTTTACTAACAGTAGCAAAATTACTGCCCTCTGTGTTTGAAGTGACACATGTGACAAACAGATTGTAGTGATTCTTGCTGGTTTTCTGATGATGGGCTTCTGTGTCTTACTTTGTGAGTTAAAGGTCTATGAAAGCCCTTTGTCAGGATAGGGGCAGTTATCCAGTGCTTATTGGGTGAAGAAACACATCTTGGAAGAATCCTAATTCTAATTTGAAAATTACTGGAAAAATTTACTGAGCCTGTTTAGTTAACAGAAATACTAAGTCAAATAATTCAGTCTTTCATTTCAGACTACAGAGACAGTCTTTTAACTTCATGAGACAGGAAAAGTATATGTCACTGTTAACTTTTTTTTGTTGTTTCTTTAATTGGACTCTTGTCTGGAGACTGGGGAGTCATTCAAATTTTCACTTGAAAAGGACTCTGCATACAGTAAAGCGTCCAGTTCCCTCATAAAAATAAGGTATTTATATTTGTTGGAAATAACCTTTAGTGCTAAGATACCAGTTAAAATACTTGGCTCATAGACCTTCATGGAAATTATGGGCTCTGAGATGGGCAGATAAGTTTTGGTTTTGGGGTTGATTTCTTGCATAAAGCCAGTAGTTCTGGAGCTCTCCTCATTTTTGGCCAACATTTTAAAATGGAGCAGAGAAAATGGGGTTGTGTATCCAAGGCATGCAAATATCAATGAGATAACCTCACCTGGCACCTGCAGTTCAGAATGGTAGAAATTCCATTTTAAGACATATGGCAGTGTTTCAGAATACCCAAAAGCTTGGGATGCTGAGTTTAAAAGGTGATCAGTTGGTACATGGCTTCTGACTATCTAAATACATGTATGAATGATTTAGAGAGGTGAAAATGCTTTAGTTTTTACCTTTTTAAAAAAAACTATATTTTTATAATGCTTTATATTGTTATTTTTAGATATGTGTATAGTATACATATATATACGCATATATATACGTATGTATATATGTATACATATATATACACACATATATAGTATACATATATATTACGAGTATATAGTAATAACTTTAACCCGTAAAATGAATTTGAGCTTGGAAAACTGTTAGATTCCTGAGCAACCTTTACATAGAATCAGTATTTTCAGTGCCTGAGAGACAGAAGCTGTCAGTAGATGTATCCTTGTTTCTTTTGCCAACAAGGACAATCATTCTGGAGCCCCTCTTTTTCTCTTCCCATCTTCTCTCTCATTTCCATCCCTGCCTCCCCAACCCCCTTTTTTATTTTCTTCTTCTTTATTAAGATTTCACCAAACAAGTTGCACATGGGATATTCTGATAGCAGCATTATCAGTATTTTGCAGAGCACTGTCTCCTGTCATGTGGCAGGTGTACATTCCAACCGTGTTGGAGGACAGCTTCCCGGGACACAGAGCAGCAGAAGATGGCTGTTGCTGCCAAAATGGGCTATTACTGCCTAGAGAACAAATGAGATAGTGTGTCCTGGTGGTTCTCATGGTGGAAGCATGTACCCAGTTAGAATGCTGCACATTTTGAAAGAATATATGGATTTGGTGGAGTAATGTTCCAAAAAGCAATTTCATTGAGTGTATGATGTCCTTGGTCTTTCATTATATTTCATCTCAAAAGTGTAATGGATGGAAAAAGTTTGTTTTATAAATTACTCTGTCTAAAGCACATCCTGAGCATGTAATAAGAAAGCTAAACACATGAAATACTCGCTAGATTTGCCGAAGAACTGAATGTGCTGCCATCTGGTAGTTGTACTTTGTCCTCTTGGCAGCATTTAATTGACTTCAGTTTTCTCATGCAGCACTGTCTGTCTCTTGGCTTACACTTTATACTCAGTTTACATGGTATTTATGCTTTTAATGAAAAAACAAAGCTGTTGTGACAAACTGATATTTTTATGTGAATAAAAGGAGGCTGGCTCTTTAGAGACTTAAAAAAATAAAATCTTTTTGATATTAGTTGTTCTCAAGGTTATTCCAGAAAATCTTTGCCTGAGACATGAAGTAAGTCTTGGCATAACTTGTATTTGTTTTGCTGGGGTTTTTTAAAGGTATGTTAAAAATACATAACTTAAAAGGTAGATCAAATGTTCCTGACAAAAAGATGAAACCCTGTATTGTCCCTATAGCAGTTAATGCTTATTCCAGGGTAGAAAGACCTGTTAGTTTTGGACTTGAAGGGTAATGGGAAACTTTCCAGTATGCATCAAAAAGGGCTGAGAGATAGTAACATTCCATGGGCAGTGTCTGCAGCACTGGGGTTGAGGGAGTTAGTTGCTCAATGGTTTTGGTTTGGTTAGGAGGGAAAGAAGGAAACGTGTGTTTGGATGACAAGCGCATGGAGCAAGAATCAGTGTCTGAAGTTGGTTAGCTTGTTTTTCCTGTATGGGAAGTAAAATCAAGTATGTAATCTTGACTTTTTTTCCTTTTGGACTGTGGGCATAACGTCCCTCCTTTAAGCTGCAGACACAGATCTGTGGTGATTAACTGGTTTCCTACCTGTCAGGACATCTGCTCGTACTAGGCCCTCACAAACCTCACTGTTCTCTAGGAAAGCAAATGAAATAAGAATATTCTCCGGGATGGTGAAATTTCTCTGTATGGAGCTGCAGATGCAGGTAGCCCTGTCATTCTTAATCTACCTTTCCTTGGCATATGGTTTCCTCAGAGAAACTTCCATGAAGCTGAGCAGAGGATTAATACAGGAAAACTCTTCTGTTTTTGTGCTCTCAGGCACAATTTCCCCCAGGTGTGGGTTCATTCAACTTCTCAAGCTGAAAGACTGAGCAATTAAAATTCAATTCAGAGCTTTCCAGCGTTGTTCTTTGTTTGTTTGGGTTTTATTGTTATACTTTAAAAACCTATACCTAATCCACAATCTGGACTCAATGTAAAGTATGATGTTGGGATATAAAAATGTGACAGACTCTACAAAGAAGTTCTGTGGTTGTGTTTAAAAATAATTCATGTTCTTTGATCTTTCTTTTTCTTTACTGGAGATTGTTCTTAGGGCTAAGAACAAGGAGGATATAGCTGTAGGAGTTCATTTGGGAGTTTATCTGAAGTTGTCTTGACATTGCAGTGTTATCCTTTCGTATTACTGATTAGGTAGCATATTTTAAACACTATCATCTTAGATCTGTCTTGCTGTTGTTCTGCATAAGGCAGCCGTTGGTGAAAGAGGTAAGAAGTAGTCAGTGTAAAACAGCATCCTTATTTGCTCCATCATATAAAGTATGCAGATGACCAGGATGCACGTAAAGGCTTTAAGAAAGGTTTTGTTGTATGTGGTTTGGGTGTTTCTGTAAATGGAAATTTACAGGTGGCAATGTATAGTGGTTTGGGGTCTTTTGTATGGGAAACATGGTTTTCCTTTTATAGGAAATGAGTTTTTGTAGAGGAAATGTGTTTTGGACAGCCTATTGAAGCCTAGCTCCTTGATAATATATTGATAGATATTGTCTATCTGCTTATCCCTCTTGCATATTTTCCTTTCCTTGCTCAAAACCTTATTAGAATATGATGTTAACTAAGTTTTTAAAATAACAGGATCTGTGAATTTTATATGGATTCAATGAAGCCTCACATTTTGCTCCTGCAATTACATAAGGGTCTATTAGACCTTTAACTTTGGGCTGGGGGTAAGTCAAGCCTATGCAGAAGGTCAGTTCATAACTTGGGTCAGAAAACTAATTTACACAGGTCAGGTCTGTTGTAGTTGTAATGAAAAAATTTGATTATAAGATTCATGGCAATCATAACAATATTTCTTCTGTTTCAGTAACAAGTTTCCTATGCCTCTTGGCAGCATCTTGGGGCCTTTGATGCTTTTTCTTGCGTTGCTACAATCATCTGCTAATAATTCTGACTGATCAGTAAATAAGCAATCTCACAACTGATATCTGCCTTCGAGTGGACCACTGGTTTGCTTTAGTTGCAGCATCTCACTAGAAAATCAGTGGCATTGAACAATGCTGCTTTTACATTGGCATCCTTTCCCACTTCTCATTTAGAAATTTTCACGGACCTGGAAAAACCTCTTGGGTCTGTTGGTCATAAAATAAAAAAAACACCTTTCTTCTTCTTGTTTTTCTTCCTTTTTTAATTGTTTTTTCTTTAAACTTACAAACTAACATCTCCAGAAGTTGTTGGTGACATTTTGGGGGAAACTGTAACAGATTTGAAACGAAACTTTTCTTCTTGAAGTGCTCAATCACAGCTATAATTAAAATTGGTCTGAAAGTAGGGAGATGTTCCTGTATCAAGCAGGAAGGCCAGAGATCAAAGTTTTAGCAGTAAAATGAAAACCTTTAAATGTTTTCATTTAAATGCCCCTCTGTGATGTAACTGGAAACAAGACCACCTAAAAGTAGACACCAGGATACCCTTACCAAGAAAAGAATTAAAAGACACTGTCTCCAAGATACAGAATGTCTCTTCAGTGCAACGAATCGCGGGTGCTGTCTCAAATCACTTTCTTCTCAATTGATGCAAGTTATTTTTACCAAACTTTTACAGCTCTACTTTTGCTCACAACCCTTTGCCTCATTGCAAGTTATACACTTTGCAGCACTTAAATCTTTTAAATGGGATAATGTATGTACAGAAACTTAAATATGTGGCTAGCTGCACTTACAGGAAGCCGTAATTTCTAAATGCCAGCAAATTCTGTGTTGTGAGCTTTATATTTTAGCAGGAATAAAGCCTAGTTCCTAATTTAATAATTGCTTGAAAATTATATTTTCTGAGCATTAATGAATCACTTGAAACTTGTAAGTCATGAGGGGAATGAAGGCCAGCACTCCTGCTTTGCTGGTGGGTCACTGCCATTGCCATGTTCTGCCTCAAGCCTGTAGAAATGCTGTTATCAGCCTTATTGCATTTTGGGGTTTCACTGAGGCTCTGAAAATAGGAAATGGTAAAGTCTGTAGAACTTCTGACTCCTTTTGTTGTTCTCATTTAACACTGCTTTAGCCACTTGGCCTATATGAAAGCAATCCATCTATCTGTAAATGGCTTTTGCTGTAGCTCAGAAATCAACAGTGTGGTTGAAAACATAAACAGTTTTCACAGTATAAAAGTGCGTGCATGGGGAGAAAAAAAGTCATTACTTCCAAGTAATTCAGAGTATCTTTTAATTAGTGAATGCCTTTGCCCATCAGTAATAAACGCACCTAGGAATATACAGGATGTTTAACAGATTCTTTTGTGTTGCTGAGTTGCAATAGTAACAAGCTGAATTTGTGTCCACAAACACACATGCCCACATTTTGGCTTTTACTTTCTAGCTTTTACGCTCTGGCTGGAATATTACACAGCCATTTCAAAGGCCTTCTGTTAAAACTTCTTGATGGAAAAGGTGCCTGTTGACAGAAACACAATTGCTCTTTCGGTCCATTTATTTGACAGTTGGCAACAAATATTTTAGATTAAGTCTTTGAGGGGCTTTAGGTGGATGAGCAGGTCGAAGGAGGTGATCCTGCCCCTCTACTCTGCTCTCCTGAGACCTCACCCGGAGTATTGTGTGCAGTTCTGGTGTCCTCAACATAAAAAGGACATGGAACTGTTGGAACAAGTCCAGAGGAGGCCACGAGGATGAGCAGGGGACTGGAGCACCTCCTGTATGAAGACAGGCTGAGGAAGTTGGGGCTGTTCAGCCTGGAGAAGAGAAGGCTGTGTGGAGACCTCATAGCAGCCTAACAGTATCTGAAGGGGGCCTGTAAGGATGCTGGGGAGGGACTCTTCATTAGAGAGTCATGGTTTAGTGTGAGGTGTCCCTGGCCATGGCAGGGGTGTTGGAACTGGATGATCTTAAGGTCCTTTCCAACCCTAACTATTCTATGATTCTATTTTATGAAGAGAAATTTCTTCTTTGCATCCTGATCATTGCAGTTGCTTTGTGCCTTGAAGTGTTAGTTTATCTCTGTCAACTAGATCGTTGTGTTGAAGATTTCTGTAAGATATGTTTTTCTAGACAGTACTAAATTTTTTCATATCACCCTAAGAAACAGACTTATAAACCATGGAATGCCACAGTTTTCTTTTGGCTTCATGCTGGACATTCCTTTCTTCAAGTGCCCTGGGTTATCCAGTTTGTCTTTTCTATGTATCTGTCATGGTCCTTCTCTTCATGTGTTAAACATTAATGCAAAGAAAAAAAGAATCCCAGTTGTTTTCAGCTTTTCAACTTGCTTTGTGCTTTGCCCTCAGACTTCAGTGATGGAACGAACATTGTTCAGTCCTTTGTATTGTAATTGTTCAATACTTTGAAGCTTGCTTTGTGTCCTGCAGAATTATGCCTCTCTTCTCACTCAGTAATACTCTCTCGACTCTTCCACAGACTCACATTTCAAGACTTCCTCCTGGAGCTGTGGCAGGACAGTCCGTGGCAATAGAAGGAGGAGTTTGCCGGCTGGAGAGTCCAGAAAGCTGAACAGCTGATTCCTCCCTTCATTGCAAAGAATGTGAATGACTTTTTTTTGTACAATAAGTTTTTTGTGTTTTAACAGATGTTGGAAATTCTACTCTTTGTTTTATACCTGGTATTGCAACCATGTGCACCATAACTTGAGGCAAGTGCTGCTGTTTCTCACTCTGTGAATGGGGGTGTGTGCATGTTCATTTTTTCCCGAATGAAATAGGAACTCTTCCCAGTTGTGCAAAGATTAAGATTATGTATGATTAATGTTTGCGTTTTCATTGTTTAATGTTTGCAAAATAACTGAAAGCTTAAGAAAAAGGAAATTAATTTAAAGATATGGTCACAATTGTCATTCATGTTCTAAATTAAAAAGTAACGGGCCTTTTATGTGGCTATATCATTATGCAAAAGTTATTATGGTTCCTAAGTTTCTCAGTGGTTTAAGGAAATCCAGAAGTGGTTTCAACATGGGTCGTTTTTTTCCTCCCCAATAAGGAGGACTGTTTTTTTTGTCAAAGAATGGTTTCAGTGAAACAAACTAAAGCAAAATTAAGGCTAGAATTGTTGTTAAATAGTCTTATAGGTCATATCTCTGTTCCCAAACCAAGATGTTAATAGCTTCAAGCTGTATGTATCACAAAAAGCTATATGAAGATAATGTATCGTAATGCAGTCTTTATGTATAATGGAATATTACAATGTAAATAAGAAAACAAAGTTTATGGAAAGATTCGATATTATTCTTCGCTTCTGTTTAAAATCTATTTTTAAGAGAGGTACAGAAATGAACATATTACTGGATGCGAAGTGCAATGTGTATTAAATGGATGCTGGGAGGTCTGATACTAGCTTTCTTACTGATAAATCAACTTCCTGAAGTCCAGCCACAGCATGGGTATTTATATAACTGTGTGTAATATGTATGTACTGTGCATAAATTTACTGTAATTCTTTTTATACCTTCCACAAAACTGCATTATGAAACAATGTAGTCCTTGTCTGCCTTGTGAAGCATTGGCAGCTGAATGGTCATTTGTCACCAGTTCTGATGTATTAGCTGGTTCGCCCGAGTCCTAAAACTGAGTTCTGACATACAATCTTCCATTCAGTACTTTTTTTTCTTCACAGCACTGGCAGCAATGGAAGACACTTGCAGTTAATTCATTGTCCTGATAAGTATGCCAAAGAGAAACTAAAATAGTTCATCTTTTTCCCTGGTGGATATTTGATAACTCTGTTTTCAGAAATAGTGGATGAATAGATACTCAGACTGTATTCGCTTAATCGGGCATTGTACTTGCCTGTTTTGTAACGCTGTGCCTGCCTATAACACACATACTTGACTGATTAAATGGTTACACTGATTGTAGTACCAATCTTTCATGGAAAAGAATCTTAATAAATTTTTTTTAATAGCCTGAGGTCATTTTTCACTATGATGTTATAGCATACATTGAGATATTGTCATCTTTGTGGGGTTTTTTAACTGTGATATCAATGTAGGCCTATAGTTGAGGATATTTCTGTGCAGTTCTGTAAATAATATGAAGCAGGGGCTTTCCATGTCGCAGGCATAATTCTGTGATCTGTCTTGAAATAGTTTATGCTGAGATACCAGACTGGATCCTTCAGTCTGATGAAATGAAGAACTGTACCACGACACTTCAGATGTGTTGCAGCCAAGAAGCTGTGTTGTCACAGCCATTCACAGTGCTCTAACATGCAGCCTTAAGTGATCGTGTGGATGCTTCACTATGTAGTGAGTGAAAAATTGGTTTATACATACCCACATTTGAAAATGGCATTGTTTTGGGAAAAGCTAAGGTAACAGTGTTAGCCTGCTTTCATTCTGAAAGTACTTTTCAGTGTCAATGTCATAGTAACTTTAGCATAAATTCACTCTTTCATGGAATCAAAATGGCTTGTAAAATGTAAATCCATCCATTGTTTCTTCTCCTTCCTTGCTTAATGTCTCTTCATGGAGATTTGGATTCCAGCATCTATTTTTTTCTCCACACTATCTCAATATTTTGTTTGTGTGTACATATACATACATAGATACAAAATCATAACTCAGACAGCAGGTAACATGTTCTGCTTCTACTTTGGTTTTGTATCTATATAATACTCCAATATATTTTTTAACTTATTTTGGTCAAATAAGCCAGGCTTCTTCAGGAAGCTGCATAGGAATTACTGTTTGAAGTGGAGCAGTGTGCCTTTTCATTGCCTGACTTTTCCTCCTTCTGCCTAGGGAGAGGAAAAATGAATAAAAAAGGGATTCTCTTGTCTTGAGAATCCCAGGCAAGGTCCAGAGCACAAACCAGGTACAGGGCTTCTCATAAGTTACTTTTGAGAAGAGAACTGTTGGCACACGTGAATGTCTGTGTCAGTAACTGTGAAGACTGGCAGGAGCAGAGTTTCCTATCATCCGACTCCCACTGAAGCCAATGAAAGATCTTACACTACTTTAATCATGGGTCTAATTCTACTGCTAGTTCTATTTTGAACTTGAAAGGGGCTTATGAAAAATGAATGGTGAGGACAGACACACTTTGCGATGACGTGGTCTGTAAACTCTTGTACGTGATGAGTAACCATTGCCACTGGCATAAGCAGATACAGTCCAAGAGGAAATTACATAGTTGACAGCAATAGCTGGCTAAAATTATAAAGGAAGGGCAACCAGATGAAATGCATATAAATACAAACAATTTGAATACTGTTGATTTTGTACTCAAACACACAATTACGTGTCCCAGAGTATTTTGTAGCAGACAGGTTGGTGCCAGAGTACTCAGCCTTCTACCATAGTAAATTTCACTGCTAAAAGCTTGTAATAGCCTAAACCAAATGAACATACAGCTCATTTTCTTTTTCATCTTCCTTTGCTCCTGTACCTTTATCTTTGCTTCTGTATCTTAACAGCATGGCCCTGCAAGGAGTGAGTTCAGAGAGCTGCAGTCGAGCAAGTCATGCAGGAGAGGCCTGGTACACCAAAAAGCGTTGAGAGGTTACTTGAATTCCATTTTGGGGATTCTGTAGGGGTGGAGAGTATGCTCCTCTCCTTGTGAATGAACCTCTGAAGCTGTGAAATACAGGAGGCTTGACTGAGGAGGAAGAGGGGTCCTGATTTAGGGAAACGGCAGCTGTTCACCTGTAAAGAACAATACGTGAAAGGAGAAAGAGCCTAAAGAGGAAGCAGAGCTGGTAATTAATCCAGGGGTGTTAGCAAGGCTACGGTGACAGCTTTTGTGACTTAAAATGTAAGTTAATAGCAGAGTCTAGAAAAAGAAGGCAAAACTATTGGTTATTACCAGGTTGCAGGTGCAACGTTTCACAGTGGCTTGTGGTAGTGGTGCAACGGGATTGTCTGTAGAGCTCGGTTTTGAGCAGAATGGTGCAGAATCAAACCATATATCTGCACATTTTAAAAATGAAAATTCAGAACTCCACCATAATTTCATAGAATCATAGAATAGTCAGGGTTGGAAAGGACCTTAAGATCATCCAGTTCCAGCCCCCCTGCCATGGGCAGGGACACCTCACACTAAACCATCTCACCCAAGGCTCTGTCCAACCTGGCCTTGAACACCATCAGGGATGGAGCATTCACAACCTCCCTGGGCAACCCATTCCAGTGCCTCACCACCCTTAGAGGAAAGAACTTCTGTTTCTTCTGGTTGTTTTGGGGGTGACTTGGAATGTACAAGATAGATATACTAAGAATTCTAGTCATCCAGTGGTAGCTGGATTAATTTGTTCAAAGGCATTGAATTGCATGGGAAGTTTTTATATTGCTATGTTTGTGAATAACTGAATGCCATCTGCAGTCTGTATGCAGCCCTATTGTAAAAGCATCTCCTGAACCCCCCAAAATTTGCCACTGTTACAGTATTCAGACTTTGGTAATTCTAGGTGACTGAAATCCCATCCCCTTAATTCCAGAGGCAACTTTCAGGTTAAAACATGACTGAAGAAAAAATCTGGTTTTGGTTTGGGTTTTGATCTGTTTTTTGAGCTTGATTGTCAGGAGAAGGCTTAGAAGAGAATGGAGAGTTGAAGGGAAAGTTTATAATGTGGCTAGGTAAGGAAATCAATGCTCTTGTTAGAAAGCAAAGTATACAAAGAAACTTTTCTAACAGAGGAACACAGGAATCAATGTAAAGTGTGTACAGGGAAAACAAAATTATTTTGAAGGAGAGAAAGAGTAAGAGGAAATAGTTGTGAGAACTTCCAGGAAACCTGTGTAAGGATTGCTCTATCTTTCACAGTGCTAGTAAGGCTCATTTTACAAGGAATATTTGAAGAGGTGAAGGAGTATGAACTGTTACCTTATACCTGGCCATGATTTTCATGAGATAGACTTATTTTGATTTAAGGCAAAGTGAGGACAAAGAGAGTTTTCATGGCTTTTAGCATGGCTTGTCAGTAGAGGTTTTGGTAGATGCCTTGCAGGGGTGTTGAGAAAGTGCCACTGCCTCGTATCAGAGTTCAAATCTTCCAAGAATTGCAGAGAACCTATAGCTTGCAGGAAATTGTATTGAGATGTTATATGGAAGCTGACATCACTTGATAGCTTGTGGTAAGGGAAAGATTGTGGGTCTAGAGACAGTACTATTGAGTAATACAACTTCACTTTACTTTTCCTCATTTTTCCTGGAAGGGGAAGCTTGTGGGAGGTTGTTCTGCTCTAATAGCCCTGCACTTGCTTATTCACTCCATTATGAGATAACGCAGAGATAAGGAGGGACTTGTACACTGATTTTTGTAGTTTTAGACCCTACAGTGACACAGCATTTATCTGCCCCATAACCTGGGCAATAAATTCTCATGAGGATCATTAGCATCACTTAATGGTGATTTGAACACAATAAATGTCTGTCTCGTCACCCATTCCTGTCTGACTGATGAACCCAGTAAAATATATTAGCGAACACATGAGCACAGTAAGACCTGCTTTCCTACAGCTTTGTGCCTTAAACATAATGCCCTCATCTCAGAATTCTCCAGTGTCACGGTAACGTGATACACTTTATGTCCTGTGCTTCTCTACTAACTCTTGAGTTCACTGTTCCTTGCAAGGTAATATCCTGCTCCTCCTCCCACGTTCCTTATCCCAGAACAGAAGTGTCAACTGCCTCAGCTCCTCTGCCTCCATCCACTGCAAGAGTTATAGCCAACCCTCATGTTCCCAGTGTCCGCATATGTCTGTTACACAAGAGACAGCACACATGATTGGTGACTGTGTGACTCCTACTTCTTGGCTGCTGGTTTTGAGTTGTCTGTAGCCCCCAGGCTGTACTTTGTGCAAGCTTTCTGTGGCAGTGAGCATCTGACAGATTGTAATCCACTTAGTTGTGTAGAAATAGGCTGATGGGTGCAAGGATTGCTGAAGTTGTACAGATAGATGGTGTGAATGTGCAAGCATGGTGTCCTTAGGGAGTCTGAAGCAGCTGCTTTTTCTTGTGTCTTCAACAGCATCTGAGAGACACAGAGAGCTGTATGTTCTACGGTCCCTCAAGGGTGATGGTGGGGTGTAAAAGCAGTAAAGCTGGCAGCCTTCAACCTACTTGTAGTGTAATCATCCCAGAGAGAAAAGAGCTGTGAAGTTATGTGTCAGTGCTCATCCTGGACTTTGTACAAGCCTGCTAAGGACTATGGGTGTCACATCCTTGCATGGTTAACCCCCCACTAGACTGTGCACCTTTGAACATGCATGGCTGTTCTATGTAGGTATAAGTCAGACATCCAGGTAGACTCACAGAGGAGTCCCCATAGCTTCTCTGATCATCTCTCTCAGAGCTCATCAGCTACAATATCATCTAGATATTTAGGCTGGATTTGCCCCGTTTGTTATACTCCATTATATTGCTGTGAATGTTCACATAGACATGCAGAAAGAGATGAACTAAATTCATCTTTCTGAACCAAAAAGCCTTTCAAAGTTGTTAACATGCAGTTTTTCAGAAAGCACCACATGAAGGCAAGTGTTTGAGGTGAGATCCTGTCACCAGCAAGGCCACTTGGAGCTCAGCCATCGGCTTTGACGGAGCCAGGACATCACCCTTGGAGGCATTTCTCTTGGAGGGTTCGAGCATTATGAGTCCTTAAATGTCAACCCTGGAGACGTCGGAAATGAGGCGGTGTGAGATGTTTTGGTGACTCATGCTTATATTTTGGATTTTGGTGGGTGTGCAGGGCTCAAGAAGCCAAGTGGAAGAACCAAACCACAGACTCCTCTGGGCTAATAATCTGGGGCAGGCAGGCAATGAGTGCTCCAGTAGCCAAGGGCTCTTGGCATTCATTCATTTAGGCTGCGTGGAGACCTCATAGCAGCCTAACAGTATCTGAAGGACGTCTATAGGGATGCTGGGGAGGGACTCTTCATTAGAGACTGTAGTGATAGGA